AAAAAAAAAAATTGGAGGACTGATACTACTCCACTTCAAGACCTAATATAAAGCAACACTAATCAAAAAACAATTTATACAATGGGAGAAAATATTTACAAATCATGTATCTTGGTAAGGGTCTAGTACCCAGAATATATAAAGAAGTCTTATAACTTAACAATAAGAGGGCAAGTCAATTAAAAAATGAGCAAAGGACTTGGACAGGCATTTTTCCAAAGAAAATATACAAATAGCTAATATGCACATATGAAAAAATGCTCAATACCATTAGTCATTAGGGAAATGCAAATCAAAACATTAACAAGATACCACTTCAAACCCACCAGAATGGCTATAACTAAAAAAATAAATAAATAAAAAGGAAAACCATGAAGTTGGTAAGGGTGTAAAGAAAATGGAACCCTCATAAATTCCTGGCGAAAATGAAAAATGGTGCAGCCTCTATGGAAAACAATTTAGTGGTGCCTCAGAAGCTTAAACATAGAATTACCACATAACTGAATGACTCCACTCCTAGGTATATATCCAAAAGAACTGAAACCAGGTACCCAAAGAAATCCATGACTATGCATGTTCACAGCAGCACAATACATACTAACTAAGGGGTAAAAACAACCCAGTATAGTATATATTCAGTTTTGGTAGATACTGCCAAACAGTTCTCCAAAGTGCTATACCCATTTTTCACTCATTCACTTTAATATCTCCACGGCATTTCATTGTACAGAGGTAACATTATCTAGTTTTTTAGACAATTCCCAATTGATGGACATCTGAGTGGTTTCTAGGATTTTGTTACTATAAACAAAATGGCAGTGAATACACTCATCTCATACATGTCCTTGCACCCATATACAAGTATGTTTGTAAGATAAATTTCTAGAAATAAAATTGCTTAACCACAGTGAGTGCATTTAAAAATTTACATATACTGCCAAATTACCCTCCAAAGAGATTGAAACAATTACTACTCTTCCTATTAGGGTATGAGTGTCTGCTATTTCACACCCTTATATGTACTTTAAATAGCCAAACTCATATCTTTATCAAACCAAAAAATGAAATATGGTATATTGTTATTGTATCAAATTAAGTAAAGGTTACTAGAAATCTATAAGAGAACAAATTTTAAAAAATCTAATCAGGTAACTTTTCATCTTCATCAAACTAAATATCTGAAATATGTGAATTTCAAATTATTAAGTATCAGGTCATATCCCCTTGAGAAACTACAGCAATAACGCACATTATTTTTTGATGTGAGTGAAAAAAGAATCGTGCTTGTACATGCATTACTACTGCTGTGTTTCTCTCTCATCTTTCAACACAGTTATCTTTTAATACCCGCTGGGAGATAAATAAGGATAGACAGCTGGCTTTACATTAACCCTCCCTCGCCCCACCCCCCCACACAAAGATCAAACAAAGAAGAGTTCTGAGGTGAAAGAACATAATGCACCACACTAAATGCATAAACAACATACATTAAAAAAAAATTAGACTGTCTCACAAAAGTCTGTATTTACAAAAGAAAACAAAATCCCAATTTGTCCCTGAATTTAAAAACTTCTTTTCAATGCACTCACATAAAAAGAATGAAGTTTATTTTTTCTTATTATTTGATGATGATAATGATAATTACAAACAGACTCATCTTGAAAATAAAAGAAAAAAATTCACACAAAAATGAATGAGGTTTTTCTTAGAACAACTCCCATCACATACACCATATAATTTATACTGATGTAGTACTTTACAACTATAAACATGGTTTATACTTTTTTTTTTTAAGATTTATTTATTTGAGAGACAGAGAGTGTGCGCACGTGTGCACATGTGACTGGGGGGAGGGGCAGCGGGAGAGGGAGAGGGAGAAAGAATTTCTAGCTCCCTGCTGAGCACGGAGCCTGACATGGGATGTGGGGCTCAATCCCAAGACCCTGAGATCATGACATGAGCCAAAATCAAAAGTCAGATCCTTAACCGACTGAGCCACCCAGCACCCCACGTTTTACTTATACTTCTTAGTTGATCTCCATGAAGTGGTCTCATGTATCTTCCACTCTTATCATCTAACACTCTCCTTCACATTAGGTGAATTTATCATTTCTCTCCTTCATAACCCACTCCCCCCTCCTATGCCCCATCCTCTTCCCCTACAAACAAAATCTCTGCTTATCTGTCTCCTTCTCTTAAAATGCCTTTCATCCCATCAGTGTCCAGCAAAAATGCCATTTCCTCCATAAAGTCTTCCCCGATGCTTTCATTTAAAGTAATCACTTTGTTCCTTTGACCTGATTAGAACATTTAACATTTTCTGTCTTGTAGTGTATTATTACTGTTTTAATAAATGTTTTAATCTCCCTCACATTATAAACTTCATAAGGAAAGGGATTCTCTTATCTATCTTAATACTCATAAGTATCAAGCATAATAATGAAATATATAAAATTTACCTGCTGAATGAATGAATTCTAAAACGACCCTGTAAATTTAAGGTAGTAAGTCACCTAATAAATAAGGAGATTATTTCAGAGAAATTAAATTATATCCTTAAAGCCAAAACAACTAACAAACAGTGGAGCTGAGACTGAAACCCAGGCTTTTTGAAGACAAGTCAGTGTTCCTTCCCCAACAGCTGGCTTGACAATCTAGGGCTGGGTTTTTTATTGCAATTTCCATGTAGTCTATATAAATAGGCTGCATTCATTTAAAGAAATAGAATTAGATTACAATATGATCATAAATTATACCAATATTGGGATAACTATACCCAAAAGGAAAAACAAACCAAACAAATGACCAAACACCACCCCATCCCACCGAATCATTTATAACAACAAAAAACTTAGCCCTGACAAATTTCTCTTTCAATAGCAGCTCTGTTAGTTTGGTACTAGTTTTGGTAGAGGGACAGAATAGAACAAAGGCATATTACTAAGGATAATTTAATTCAAAATTTAAACTTACCGGCAAGCACAAGGGTAATATTCAGTACAATGAATATTCCACAAAATAGGCCAACTCTAAAAGTAGTCCATGCTGGTGCAGGCTGTAGACAGAAAAACAGCATGCTGGGCATAGGGCAAAACACTGCATACATTTAGTATATGCTGTAATAAATTAGTAGTATGAGACCCAAAGCTCTACCATACAAAAATATTTTATGAACTGAATTTTTTATATATCAGAACCAGAGAAACATCATTCTCCTGTAATATAAAATGGATTTGCCAGTTATTCAAATTCCTTTACAAAAATCTGATTACTAAATAAATAAGAATTTAATCTTGAACTTTGAATTATATATGCACTGAGTTTTTCTTATGGGAGAAATCTAAGGGCAATTTCTTTTTTACAAAGTATGTATCTTTAAATTTTATAGGCCACGATTACTCAGAATTCACATATTTGGTACTATGAACCATGGAGACAATGGCAAAATTAAGAACACTTGTTTTCTATATTACTTACACTATTAACACTAGGGTAACTAAAAAGTGAATTTTTTTAAAAGATTTTATTTATTTATTTGAGAGAGAGCACAAGCAGGGGGAGCAGCAGGCAGAGGGAGAGGGAGCAGCAGGTTTCCCGCTGAGCAGGGAGCCCGATAATGGGGCTCGATCCCAGGACCCTGGGATCATGACCTGAGCCAAAGGCAGATGCTTAACCGAGTGAGCCACCCAGGCGTCCCTAAAGTTAATTTTTAAGATATAAAGAGATTCTCGAGAGACTGGAATATGAGAATCTCCAGAGTGTGTAGGTTCAAAAAATATTTTTCTCTATTTTACGGTAGTTTTAGATTTAGAAAATGATAAAAGGAAATCAACTGTTTTCTAATATAAAAGGAAGTACCCTGATATTTTAAACATAAACATATGAGAAACAGGAGAGAGAAAATATTGTGGAATTAAATATTTGCTATGAATATTATAAAGAACTTCTGTTGTTAAAGGTATAATATCTTAAATGTTACATTTAAGATAGTTTAAATGTTTTCTAAAAACCTTTATATGAAAAAAGCATTGAAACTCCCTCTGCTAAAAACCTTTAAATGAAAAAAAGCATTGAGACTCTCTCTGACTTATATATTAATCAGTAACAGGTATCTGAATTGTTAAAGATTGAAAGCATCCAGAGGGAAGACGGTCATTTGTATTTTCAAAAAAATTTCTTCTAGTTTAAAAAATTGTGTAATTTATCATATATAAAAGAATATATATAATGTATTTGGACTGTTAGGAACTGAATAATAAAGTGTTCACCCATCATCAGAGACAGAACATTTCTATTACCTTTGAAGTCCCTATCCCTTCCAGATCCATAAACCTTCCCTCCTCACCAAGGATAACCATTTTCGTGTTTTCTTAGCTTTACCACTTCTTTTTGCATTTATAAATACCTTAATTCTTCAAGATTTTCTTATTTTTAATAGCTTTACTAAAATATAACTCACATATACTAAACTGCACATATTTAAAGTATACAATTTGATGTTTTGATGTATGTAAACACTTAGGAAATTATTACCATAATCAAGACAATGAACATATCTATTGCCCCTCCCAAGAGATTTCTCATGCCCTTCTGTAACACTTTTCTGCACGCCACACCCTATCCCACCCCACAGAAAACCATGGATCTGCTGTCATTATATAGTAGTTTGCATTTTGCAGAGTTTTAGGTAAACAGCATCATATAGTATATACTCTTTTTTGGTTTGGTTTCTTTCCCTCAGTGTAATTATTTTAAGATGCACCCATATTGTTCCATATATCAATGTTTACTCCTTTTTATTGCTGAGTAGTATGCCATTATATGGATATACCATAACTGTTTACCCATTCACCTACTGATAGATATGATTTGTTTCCAAGTTTAGGCTACTATGACTAAAGCTGCTTCAGAACATTTTGTGAACCATTTTCTTAAAGGATTTTATTTATTAATTTATTTATTTTAAAGAAAGCTCTATGCCCAACATGAGGCTCAAACTCATGACCCTGAGATCAAGAACTGAATGCTCTACCAACTAAGCCAGACAGGCGCCCCTTGTGTACACATCTTTATATGAAAATATGCTTCCATTTGTCTTGGGTTAATACCTATGAGTAAAATGGCCAGATCATATGGTAGGTAAAGGTTTAATTTTTTAATAAACTGCCACATTGTTTTCCAGTATGGTTGTATCATTTTAGTTTCCACTAGCATCTGAGATATCAGAGCTTTGTTCCTCAAACATTTAGTGTCCATGTTTTTAGTCATTCTAATAGGTATATGTTACCTCACTATGGTTTTAATTTGCATTTCCCTATGACTAATGATACTGAACATCTACTCACATGTTTACTTGCTATGCATATATCTGACTGTTCAGATCTCTTGCCCACTTTTAAGGTGGGTTGTTTGTTTTCTTATTTTTGAATACTAGAGTTCTTTATATATTTTGGATACAAGTTTTTTATCTATTATATTTTCTTCCTAGTCTGTTGCTTTTCTTTTCATTCTCTTAATATTGTCTTCTACAGAGCAGAAGTTTTAAATTTTGATGAGGAGCTTTTGGTTTTATTTCTTAGAAATCTTTGCATAAACAGGTCATCAAAACTTTTTCCTGTATTTTCTTCAAAAATGTGTACTTTTAGGTTTTCATTTAAGTCTATGCATACCTAAAATTAATTTTTGTATATAGTGTGAAAGATGTGTGGAAGTTCTTTTTTTTTGCACTTGGAAGCGAATCGCTCCAGCACCATTTGTTGAAAAAACTATCCTTGTCCCACTGAACTGTTTTCACATTTTTACTGAAAATTAGTTGACCAAGGGGAGGGGGGTGGGAGGATGGGTTAGCCTGGTGACAGGTATTAAAGAGGGCACATTCTGCATGGAGCACTGGGTGTTATACACAAATAATGAATCATGGAACACTACATCAAAACTAATGATGTAATGTATGGTGATTAACATAATTAAAAAAAGAAAAAGAAAATTAGTTGACCATATATTTATTGGTCTATTTTTGGACTTTTTAGTCTGTTTCATTCATCTATTTACTTATCTTGACATTAATACCACACTGTCTTGATTATTGTAGTTTTAATAATTTGATACAAGGTAGTATCAATCTTTCAACTAAGTTGTTCCCAAGTTTTGTTGGTTATTCTTGTTCATTTTTAACTCTGTATAAATTTTTTAATTTGCTAACCAGTTATATACATATATAATAAATACAAAGGCCTGTTGAGATTTTCAGCTGGATTGTGTTTTATCTATGGATCAATTTAGGAAGAAATGATAATTTAGAAATATTGGGTTTTCTAACCCACGAACATGATATATCTCTTATGCATTTGTCTCTTTTAATTTCTCTTAGCAATGTTTTATAATTTTATTTTATTTTATTTTTTAAAGATTTTATTTATTCATCATTTGAGAGAGCAAAAATGAGAGAGAGAGAGCACATGAGAGGGGGGAGGGTCAGAGGGAGAAGCAGACTCCCTGCTGAGCAGGGAGCCCGATGCGGGACTCGATCCCGGAACTCCAGGATCATGACCTGAGCCGAAGGCAGTCGCTTAACCAACTGAGCCACCCAGGCGCCCCTGTTTTATAATTTTAAATGTAAAGGTCTCACACATCTTTTGTCAGATTTATCCCTACATATTTCAATTATAAATAGCATTAAAAAATTTTTTATTTCAGGGTGCCTGGGTGGCTCAGTTGGTTAAGTGTCTGCCTTTGACTCATCCGCATCGGGATCTCTGGTCAGCAGGGAGCCTGCTTCTCTCCCTTCCTCTGCTGCTCCCCCTGCTTTTGCACTCTCTGTCAAGTAAATAAATAAAATCTTTTTTTAAAAAAAAGAAGGAAATTAAAAAAAATTTTTTTTAAGATTTTATTTGAGAGTGAGCAAGAAAGAGCACAAGCAAGGTGAAGGGCAGAGTGAGAAGCAAAGTCCCCGCTAAGCAGGGAGCCCCATGTGGGACTCAATCCTGGGACCCTAGGATCATGACCTGAGCCAAAGGCAGACGCTCAACCGACTGAGCCACCCAGGCACCCAAATTTTTTTTATTTCAAATTGTTCTGAATGGTACATAGAAATACAATTTACTTTATTTATGGTCTTATATTCTGCAACCATGCTAAACTTACTTATTAGTTCTAGTAGTTATTCTAATGATTCACTGGATTTTTCTACATAGGTTACCATGTCATCAGCAAAAAAAACTCCACCAGTTTTAGTTCTTTGTTTCTCATCTGAATGCCTTTTATTTCTTTTTCCTATCCTACTGCATTGGCTAGAATCTCTAGCACAATGTTGAATAAAAGTGCTTAGAATGAATATCCTTTTTTGTCCCTAGTTAGGGAGAAGGTATTCGGAGTTTCACCATTAAGTATGATATTAGTTATAGGATTTTTCATAAATGCCTCTTATTAGGATGAGGAAGCTCTTTTTGTTGTTGATTTCCATTCCGCTGTGGTCAGAGAACTTATATTCTATCATTCAAATCCTTTTAAGTTAAAAAAAATTAATAAATAAATCTTTTTAAGTTTATTGAGACTTATTTTATGAAACAGAATATGTCACCTAAATATTTTGGTATAATTACTGTGTAGATGTCATTTAATAAATTTTTTTTGATGTAACTATGGCATTTTGGGTGAAGTTCTGTAGTAGCCCAGCAAACCTGAATCTTCCCATATCATTAAATACCTAATCATAATCATTGGTGACTATAACATGAAATAAATATCTCACCTTAATAATTTGGGGAGACCAGGGCGCCTGGGTGGCTCAGTTGGTTAAGCGACTGCCTTCGGCTCAGGTCATGATCCTGGAGTCCCTGGATCGAGTCC